TCCTATTATCAGCTTTATAATGTTTTATTAATGCTGCCAATCTGTATCTCTGAGGATAGTTTTTAATTTTGTGATATCATTTTCTTGTTCATAACCTGCGGCATTTTTGCATAAGGGGCTATAGGTTACAAGTGCACGTGTCTAGCAAGTGCATACTCAGCCTTTAAATTAATCAAACCAATTTATCTTTGTAAAAGACATGGTCTCACTATGAAACATAATCTCACATATGCGTTACATAAATACAATGACAAAAACGGTTATAAATACACATAGTAGCTTGCTGATCTTATGTGCTAGTTTAATAGACATGATACACTTTTTCAATACCACTGTATTTCTAGGTTTATTTTTATTCTTTGCATTAATAATTAAAACTAAAGAATTTACTCTTATTATAGAGTAAATTTACTATTCCTAATGAAGAATTTAGTCTTGGTTTGTATACAAAACAATATTTCATCTGCAAACTGCATATTTCTAATAGACTAAAGTGAATGGGCAGAACTCTGGGCAGATTACAGAAAACATATATAATCAATAAAACCATATTAAAACCATTTAATAAAACATTGTGATGGTGCCAACCTGGACAGTAAAGGATAAGACCTTTGTTCCTTTCCTTGAGTGAGTGGTTGCCAATCAGCTTCAGACACTCTTGAATTATCTGGACCCATTTCAGTTGGAGTTTGGGTATGGAAACAGCTTTGGTCATCCCGCATAATAAGCTATGAGGCACAGCAGGAGTGTCGCCTTGTTGATTATCCTTGATCCTGCAGAGGCTTTCCATACTATCAACTACGGTATTCTTCTGTGGTGATTGTCTGAGTTTGGAGTAAGAGGTAATGCATTGCAGCAGTTTTGCTCCTACTTGGATGGTCAGCTGCAAAAGGTTGTGTTTGGGCAATAATGCTTGGCCATGGGGATTCTTCAGTCTGAAGTTTTTGTTCCCCATGTTATTAAACATCTAAGTGAAATGATCCAGAGTTTTGAAGGACACTGTCATCAGTATGTTGATGACAAGCAACTCTATTTTTCACCATGTGAGGTTATGTTAAATCAGTGCTGGTTGTGACAATGGACTAGATGAGGGCTAACAAACTAAAAGCAACATCCAGAAAATGATGTTGTGAGTGGGTGGTTCTTCTGACTGGATAGAATGTGCGCAACCTGTTCTGTATGGGGTTGCATTCTCCCTGAAAGAACAGGTTCATAGTCTGGGGGCTCTCCATGAGCCATCTTTGTCTCTTGAGGCTCCAGTAGCTTCAGTGGCTCAGAATGCCTTCTACCAACTTTGGATAGAGTCAATCTGTCTATGGTCTGATAACCTCCAAGTTTGTTCATTTATTCAACTTATATTCCATTATATTGGCCTGAGGGATCTTTAAATGGATTATAGTAAGATAAAAACATATCATGGCAATAAAAATAATCAATTAAACACAATAAACAAATGACAATAAAACACAATAAAATAAAACAAGCTATAATGTTTTCTGCCTGGGCATGCTTTTGAAGGCAGATCCAGGTAGATATAGTTCATGCAAAATGTGACAGCTGACTGATAACAACAACAAGAAAGTCTGAACATAATTCTGGCTTGTTTGCACTGGTTGCCTGGGAGCCTAATTCAGTATGTTGGTTTTCACCTATAATGCTTCATACAGCTCAGGATTGGAATGTGTGATGGGAGCACCTCACCCAGCATGAACCTACCTGTGTACTATGTTCATAATCAAAGGTCGTTCTCCAGTTGCCTTATCCAAGAGAGGCTCAGAAGGTAGTAGCCTTCTTGTAGCTGCCCCCAGTTGTGGCCTGATTGTCCTGAAGAAGCCTCCCTGGCACCAGCACTGCTATCTTTTCAGCACCAGATCAAGACCTTCATTTTTCTCCGGCATTTAGTAACATACAGTGAGGTTTTACTCAGGTCCTGGATTTTTCTTGTTGTAATTTTTTTACACATTCCCGTGTATGTTTGTTTACATGTTTGTATGTATGGGTATTTATTTATTTATTACATTTATACACCACTCCATAGCCTGCAGGCTCTCTGGGCAGTTCACAATTAGTAACATCCGAGTTGCAAACAACCATTACTTAGGAACAAACTGCCCAAAAGCCTATTAATTTTAAATAATTGTAGTGGAAAATCATCATTACCATACAAAAGGAGTGAATGGGAAGAAAGGCAGGTCCTTCAAAGTATCACCATAGAGAAAGAGGAGGAAAAGGAGAGAGAGGGAGGCCTCCAAAGGATGCCATCCTGCCCCACCTATCCAGAGAGGGAAATCTCTACAGCAGTTTCTTGCTGCAAAGAGGAGGCACTGGCAAGTTTGGGCAGGGGAAGCTAGAGATATTCATAGTTTTTGCACTTTCACAGGAGACCTGCACCGCTAACCCCCACAATGTGGAGGGAGAACTATACATGATCCAATCTACATATAAATTAGACTTAAGACAAATTTCCATTTTCACAGGAATTGAACTTGTTGTAACGCTGGAACTGCCCATATTCAATAAATAGTCACATTAAATAACTATAAAATCATAAAACAACAGGACAACAACACAACAAATAAGTTAACCCTCCAGCACAGCAGCAGATAATAACAATATTTAAAACATCATTAAAAATCTAACTATTAAAATAGTTGGAAAATAAAAAGGGTTTTGCTTGGTGCCAAAAAGAAGGAAAGGAGGGTGCCAGGCATACCTCTCTGGGTGGCATATTCCAGAGACACTACTGAAAAGGTCCATCTCCTGGTTGCTATCCCTCTTACTTTTTTGGTGGGGGAGATTTCTGGCATGTTTTCAAAGGTAGCCCCATGGAGAGCACATTATGATAGTCTAGACAAGAGGTTACTGGATGGACAGGTTCTCCCTATCCAGATAGGAATGTAATTGGTAAATCAGACTAAGAACATAAAAGATGCTGCTAGCCATAGAGTCTGCTTGTAACTCCAATAAAAATTCTGGATCTAGGAGTACCACTAAACTATGAACATTGTCATTTAGATGGAGTGTAACTCCATCCAGAACAGATTGAAAATCTCCCAACTAGACAGACAATCCACTCACCAGCAGCACCACTATTATGTCTGGACTGAATCTCAAATTACTGCCCCGCATCCAGTCCATTACTGAGTTCAAGCACTGATTTAGAACAGGGTGACCATAACAGTTTCTGTTCCAAAACCAGGTCTGTCACCCAGCTGAAATGGTTCCAGATAATACATTTACCCAAGAGTGCTTGGAGCTGTCCAACCATCAGCTGCTCAAACATCTTGCCCAGGAAGGGGATATTAGTAACAGGTCTGTAATTATTCACATCCACTGGGTCCAAGTTTGGCTTCTTCAAGAATGGCTTAATCACTCTTGATCACGTTATTTGTTTTTCGGCGCGAGGCTAACACCTTTTTATTTAAACAATATTTTAACAATTTTTAATATCACCTATAGGTTTTTAATTTACAGCCAGGGTGAATCTGGATTTTAGTTTGCACTATTTGTATTTATTCTTTATTTATTGTATGTAAGTCGTCCTGAGGCTCTTGCGATGGGACGGGATACAAAAATTCTAAATAAATAAATAAATCACAGCCTCCTTTAAAAAGGCTGGCACCCTTCCTCTCTGAAAGAGGCATTTACAGCCTCCTGGACCCTGGGGTGAACCTGTTCCTTAGTTCTCCCAATTAACCATGATGGGCAGAGCATGAAGGTGGTAGGCTAAACTGGGCCAAGCACCTTGTCCCTATCTTCAGGAATCAATGAGTGGAACACATCCAACGAAACTGGACCAGACCAGCTTTTATAATGTATTTTTAAGTTTTTCATCTTTGTCAGCACCTACAGAGCTTTGGCTGTTGGGTGATATAGAAATGCAATAACTGAGATGAAACAAAATGAAGTTAGTCAGTGGTGGCAAAGTTAATGTTACAGTCAAAGTTATAATACGGACAAGAACACCAGTTCTTACCCACTTGCACTGGCTGCCTATAGGATTCCAAGTCCAATTCAAGGTGCTGGTTTTGACCTAAGAGGTTTACAGAGTTTGGGACCATAATACCTGCTAGAATGCCTCTCCCAACTACGGTCTGCCTGGACACCATAATCAAGATGTGGGCCCTGCCTCTGACTGTCAGTTCTGAGAGAGAGAAAGGCATTCTCAGTGGAAGACCCCCAAGTATGGAACAAGCTTCCCAGTGATTTCTGCTTGATGCCAACTCTTAATGTATTTTCAGTTAAAACTGTCCATTGAGTTCAATTAATTGGCTTTATTATTATACTTAGGAATTATGTCAGCTGCTTAACAAATCTTATGATTTAATTTCTGTAAGTTAATTGTAGTTTTTAACATTTGATTTTAAATTTAAATTTTACATTTTTGTACTATGATTTCTCTGTTGCTTTTATTGTTATCTGTTTGTGTTGTCTTCCATTTGCTGTTGTAAACCATCAAGAGAGCTTCTAAATACAATGTAATAATAATATAGAAATAAAATTAATAATAATAATAATAATATACTCGTATATATCCCCATTAGCTTGACCCAATTAAAGGTACAGTTGAGGCAGTACTAAAAATTATCCTGGCCTAGCAACACTGAAGTGGGCTTAGTACCTTTTCTTCAGAATCAGAGCTCACAAACAGGCTATGGTGGTGGCCTATAGTACTACTACATTATTCTGCAGAGTTACATAGAATTCCACAGTATATTCTTCTGAGAAAACGCAAGAAGATAAATTTCATATTATTGTATATATTTCAGTTCTGCACTTACTCCAGCAGGTTCAATAGAATCATATCTGTGTGCATACTGATATAAACGAGATCATAATTTGCCACCACATGCTTGGGTAGATGGAAAAAAGCAGACTACTTTATATATTGGATAATGGAGGTAGTTCTTTCCATGAAGAAATAATTTAATTAGCACCATAAACTATTTAGAAATAAAAAGGAAATTTAAAGTTTAACCACTCAGTACTTTTATCTTTACCTGACCATCTCATTATTCAAAGCAATTGCTTCCAGGTACTTCTTCAGTGCATAATAATTATGGATATATTTTCGGATGTAATAGCCTCGCCATCTTTTTTGAATCTGGGGGAGAAAAAGCACATATATTTGTTTTAATACCTTTCTTTCAATAGAAAAAATGTTATCAAACATTTAGATGAAATATTTGGCCTATTTTGTATGGGATAATAGTACTTTAGTATCAGGCATGCATGCATACATATTTGCCTGCCCATTAATACGGGCATGGGGAAAAGTAATATATTAACATATTTATACTGATAAATGGAATCAAAAGGCTATTTCTAGTAGGCTAAGGTGAATATGAGCTGATAATGATTTTGGCAGACATTTTGCAATGAACAGAGATTGTAATATTAAATGTTGTTCCAAGGCTTTTTAGAATTATATCCATCCACCTAATCAAGCTAGCCTACCAGCAGTTAAAAGTAGCATTAAGATTAATCTTATGTATTAATATAATCAAGTCAAAGTAAAGTTAATCTTGTTAAATTTATTTGATGTACTATACTGTAAGTGAATCTCCCACTACTCTACATTTCAAATCTGACTACAATTTTTATTTTAAAAACTGGTTTGCATGCTCTTACCACAGAAAGTTGTCCACCTCTATCAATTTAGAACCCTGTGCATGGGAAAGTCCACCCAACAAGCAAGGAAGGTTGAATAAGTTGAGCAAAAGCTACGGAAGAGAATGCTGAGTGATATTCAGAAGAGAAGCTATTGGCTTGCCTTTAACTTCCTTTTATTATTTCTCAGATAGCTAATCTTCCCTACTAGATGGAACACAGCAGAGCACAAAAGACCAGCACTGCGTGCTTAAGCCTTTCTAATTTCCTTACAGAGCTCAAGCATTCAATACCAGCATTATTAACAAAAAAGTGTAACATCATTAAGATTAATTTTAATAACATCATAATACTAGGGTCTCGAACTTGATGCCTATAGACACCTCTCTTGGTGTAACCAGGCTCCCTGCCCGCTTATTTTTTTTAACTGCAAAAATGCTGTCTTCCAGTGCTATCTGTATTTAGATTCATACAACTGCTTTTATGTATGTACATTCATGAACAAGTCACTTTTCTATTAGTCCTACCAGTCTGTCTTCTGGGAAAAGGGTATTTTGTGACTGGCCACACCCCCATAGCAGCCATTTAATGAATGGCAGCCTCCCCTCAAGCCAGCCATTTTGTGAACCTCAAACTTCTCTCAACCAAGCCTAAAAATATGGGGGCCTTAAAATTAGCTTTCTCAAGAAACTAGAATGTAGCTCTCCCTCTGTACAGCACCTCCCCAGAATAACACACCTATTCCTACCTTAAGCACAGTTAAGGGATAGAGACATTGTTAGGGCAAATCAGGAAGCAGGAAAATGACCAGGTCTACCACTTAATTTTGGTCCCAAATTCTGTAAAACAGGAAGCTCTGTTAACTTCTAGTAACCTCACTGTTGAGAAATTCAGTAATTGGTGCCAAAATGGAAGGGAAATGGCATGGCAGCTCATACTGAATTTCAGAAGAATGGCAGGTCCTCCACAGGAGGGTACATGGCTTCTATCATCTTATTCCATTGTTTAGGTGATATTGGGCAAGGAATAAGAGGCCCGGTCAAGCTGATTTTAAATCAGGATTTATCTTCCCATCATATAAAAGGCATTTATCCACTAGCTCCTGCTAGGGACTCTTTTTGATGTGTGGGGGCATGGTGGAGTGCTTAGCCTATACATATCACCAGAATGTAGCTGGAGTGCTTTGCTCAATCAAGCTTCCTGAATAAGAACTCTGGCATTTACTAGGTACTGAAGAGGAATTTCAGTTTCTTGAAATCACTGATAGATCAGTTCTGTATTTTTAGAGTGAAGAAGCCAGTAAGGTGTTAAAAACCCTGGAATATCAACTACATTTGCAAGGTTGCCAAAGCGTTATCATGAACTGAAAATGTGAGCTAAAAAAACTGAGCTGGCATTTTGAAGAAATCACCAAAACTTTACTGACTAATGAACAATAATAGAAAGTATCATGTATCTGAATGATGGAAATACTATTTTACATGTAAGACTTCCTGAGTTCCCCTACTTTCACTCTTGTAATATGAGTATTTTGAATTAATAGAACCAACTCCCTACAAGAACCAATCAAATAAAAAAAATCTTCAAAATCGTGTTTCCCAGTGTGTGTGTCAAGGTGGGAAGATAGGAAGGTCATTTTCTTCCAAATAGGGAGCAGATGGCTGGTTCCCAGTATCTGAACAGGTAGATTAAGAGAAGGCTGGATTTCTACCTGTATTGAATATAATCTATTTATGTTTCTGAAAAACTTTTGACAAACTCCCTCCTGGTGATTTCCAGCCAAATACAACAGCGAAAATAGGAGGATATTGAACAAACAGAAAATGCTAAATTGATTGTTTTTCCAATGGAAATAAATAAGCTATGGTTTCTGAGGAAGGTATATATAGTGAATGGGTCCTTTTAAATTATATGGAGGAGAGGTCAATAGTGTGGAGAAAGCATTTGCAGAGAAAGCAGGGATTCAACATATTTAAATCCGAAGCAAATTGTGAAGTACGGTATAAGCCTCTCCCCAAACTGGATAGCAGGCTAAGAAAATGGCATATAAAATTCTATGTATAAGGGTAAAACTTGTATAGTGTGCAAACAAAAGTTCTAACAACATGGGAGTAGTTATTAGACTGTTGGCTTGGGCCTAGGCAGATATCCAAATTCTAGTCCTTGCTTAGCCAGTGTGGCATAGAGGTTACAGTGCTGGACTGGGACTTGTGAGATACGGATTCTAGTCTATGTAGCCACGAAATTCACTGAGTCTTTGGGCCAGACAAAAACTCTCAGCCTAATCCACTTCACACAGTTGTAATTGTGAAGATAATGTAGAACTATGTAAGCTGCCCTAGGTTCCACACAAGAGGAAAAAAGGTATAAATGCAAAATAACAGCAACAACAACACTATGATCCAGACATTAGAGCCCTATTATCTGAGAAGGGAAATGAGGATATAGAAAATAGGGATAAGTGGGGGCACAAATCAGCTCCAGAAATTGTCCAAAGAAACACCACCACATCAGTGATTTTCATGAAAGAGTCGCCCAGGTGCCTGTGACGTGACATCTCCTCAGAATTGTCCTCTGCAGAATAAAAGTAACTTTGGTGTATAAGAAGAGCAACAATAGCTCTCCAGCTCTACTGGAGCCAGTGCCTTAAACACAGACCATGTCACCTTTAAGCTGTAACCATTCTTCAGATGCAGCCGTGCTAGGAGCACCAAACCCATGAGCAGGACTATTTAAATTTTGTTTAGCTTCAACACCCATATAGATCAACATCCTAGTTTCCTTTCTCTACATCTAGCCTGAATATATTCTGGTCCAAAATGAGCTGCCTTTTCTCCTTGCTGAGCTTCACAAGTCTCCTACTTTAGGCTTCAGCCTAGAACAGAACAAGCCTGCACAAGGAGTGGCTCACTAAGCAGAATGAAGGCTATCAGCCATGTGTTCATAGCATGACTGTATTCATACTTTTCATTCAAGACAGGTAGCAAATGGACATTAACAGAAGCTTTACTTAGTTGCCATACAAGGCTGATGGGCTACCTTTGGTCTAATGAAAGTTATGCAGATTTCAAATTGAGGTAACAGCATACATGTTCTGTATGTAACTCACTGCTCATTTATGAACTTTATTTGCTAATTTCATGTTTCCCAGTGTTAGTGTTATCCAATGCAGGGCACATGTTCTCCACTCTAACCTCTTCTAATTACAGTCATGGTTTTATATATCCTGTTTCAGCTATCTATAATCTGAACTGAAGGCTTCTAATCTTTCTAGGCTCTCTCTATGCTTAATCATTTTTCCCAGTGTTTCCCAATAACGTGTACACATGCATACATACCTGTCTTTTCGGAACTTGTTAGCAAATATAATAATCTGTTAGCATACCTTATAATTTTAAGTAGAAAATTTGCACTCCTGAAAAAGGTAAGTATGTATGCCCTTCAAAGTAATTAGCAAGTTTCAATGGTGATTGGTACCAAACAATTATTGTCATTGATCAGTACCAAACAGATAATTTTAAACAAAGTCATTGTGTGCTCAGCAGATTACAGCTTGTTAACGGGCAAGTTCTAAATGACCTCTTAAGCTAGTCAAATCAATGATGCATATTCCTCATTAAGTAACATCAAAATGTAAGTGGTCTTATAAATAATGTTTATTTTCAGCACTAAAACAAATGGCAAAACCTTGATATATCAAAAACCATCTGTTCACACATTTTTTTTTAAATTTAAAATGGGGTTATTTTTGTTATTCAAAACTCATAACAACTCTTAAATCTTCCAAATGAAAAAGGCTAATATATCACAACCCACTATTCTAAAAGTAAATCTGAGGCATGGGAAATTATGCTTTATAATAATTGCTTTCTCTATGATTTCCTTCTTGTTCCAAAAGTGAGACTTTCACAGAAGCAGGAAAGATATAACTAAGAGGCAGCTGTAAAAAACATAAGATACAAAATTTATTAGACTAATCAAGTATTTATCATTTCTCTCTGAACCTAATTCAAAAACTGCTTTTAAAGTTGAAGATATGTTGCATTTGTACACAGAACCAGGGACAGAGAAGGCAGCTATAGCCTGTGAATCTTATTTGGCTTGCCAAGGTTTTTTCTATACACACACAAGTTTTTTCCTGCCTTTTCAGCCCATGGGTATGATGTGGCAAAGAAGCCTGGGATTGCATAGCAAAGGCCTTGGTAGACTGGATATATGCATGTAATCTTTCCATTTCATATACTCCACTATTCTTCACTCTTTTGCTAGAACAGTACCATTAATTTTATATTCATATAAAATCCAAGCATTGTGCCAAGTATGGCAATTTTTCCTCAGATGAATATTGTATAAACTCACCCTGTGCTAATTAAAATAGATTAAATTGGT